ACGAACTTGCACGCCCAATCTTGTCCCGAAACTAGTGCATAATTTCATAACTATTTTTCAGATGCCAAACTACCTTGGGTCGCAGTAGCGCAATCGGCTAATCCCATACCTTAGAGTCTCCTCTGATCTGACGGGTCACACAGGTGAGTCGGTTCAAACCTCGGAAAAGCCAAAATAGTGATTCTTTCTTCCTCGAAAAAGTAACAGAATAAATCCAAGAAATCGAAGTGATCTCGAGATATCTCGAACTAATTCGGCTCTCACTTCGTCAAATAGCCGAATAGAGCCAAAAACCTACAGACTTTGCTCGCCCAATCTTGTCAAAAAATTGCAACTTTGATACATTCCTGAGCGTCGCAAATCCTTTACTTCGCGCTCCGCCGAAGTAAAAATTCTCGATCGAGCTTCAAAAAGTGTAACCTAGGGTGCGATCCATTCAACCAAAAATTTCCGGAAATTTCGGTCCAAAACTCAATGGATCGGTTCGGTCCAACCGGAAAAGTTTTGAAAAAACAGGTCCACCTTTTGAGGTGGTCCTCTTTTCCCGGTCGGACCGGTCTGAATTTTGGTTGAATGGATCGCACCCCTAATGTAATGTAGATTCCCCTGAGACCTAGTGGTGTGACAGTTTCAGCCAATCAAAAGGCGGTAAACGAAACTTGGCGCACATGTGTTCTTTCCCCGACGGCACGCGAAGACTGAACTTGAATGTGGTACGCTTTTATTGTTTATTCACCAAAATCTGGCCCCGGCAGTCAAGGAAAATGAAAACTTGATGCATTGTATTAATTTGGGGGGCCATTAATGTAAGGTTTTAACGAAGAGAAGCTTGTAAAACAACAGTTTAAGCAAAGAAAAATTTTCCATGTGAAACAAGCTAAAGGATCAGATTACACGAGGAGATAAGGAAAGCTTGATACGAAGAATATATAGTCGCTTCTGTTGGAAAATCTGATGTTGGGGGAAAAATCTAACCAGCAAATGGAAAAATAAGAATAAAAAAGAATTACAAGCCTAAAGCGAACGACAAAGGAAAAGAAAACAACGCTATTTTTTTCGAAACCTGGCCGAGTTTATAATAAAGTGAAAACTGAAAATACCGACGTGCCGACTACATCGCATGTCCTTGAAAACATTTCAAGCAGCGCAGCGAATCATTCTAAAATTCAATCGGGAACTCGACAAAAAGCCTCGGGAAATTTCAGAGGAAGTTTAAATGATTAAACTGCACAAATATTTATCTACAAAGTGAAACCGAACCGACAATAATTTTGCAGTGGTAAGAGAAACGATCATTTTTTATATTTCCCCTAAATATTACCGATCGCTTCCTCTGCCAGCTGGTTTATTCTTTCAAAAAAGTATGCCTCGTGACACTTCAAACTTTTATATAGCAGGTTCGTAAAGCCACAGCAGTCTGAGGACTGACTCTTCTCCGAACCTAGTTTATACTTGCATAGCACCTCAGTTTCAAGGAAATAATCCTTTCAACAGGAAGGGACCAAGAAACTGTCAAATGTTGGAAAAAAAAGGAATCCATTCCTATCCAAAATACGCATGATTTGCTCGTTGGCACTCTATCGATAGGTATACCTAGTTTAAAGACTACTTAAAAATACTGATTAGGATGGCAATCATGCCGCATACTATGGCAAAAACTGAGCTACGACACGGGAGGCCGAATCTCTTGCAGTCTGTTATAAAAAGGCTAAACAGTTGGGGAAGTGCAATCATCTTTCGTCTTGATGGGGAAGAAAAAGCAAACTAAACTAGACAAACAAGATCGACAAGTGCCATGTGTCTTGCTTGACGTAGCCCATTTTCATTTGACACACCGCGTGTAGCCTGACTTGCGGTGCGGAGCAAGGAGAGGTGACTGTTTTCACAGGTATGATTTCTCGTTTTTCTTTCCATTTTTAGTCCGCGTAAGTAGATAAAACAAAAGAAGACAATACTTTTGTTTGGAGTCTGGTAGCTAGTACATAAACGTTGAAATTATTTTAAAATTACAACATACAGTTATATCATTATCAATAATAACATTTTATTATAATATCTTATTTTCATATATATTTTTAACCCGCCACCCGCCACCCGCTACCCGTCACCCGTCACCCGCCACCCGTCACCCGTCACCCGCCACCCGCCACCCGCGGAAAAGTCCTGCCGACATTCAAGCAGTAATTTCTATCTTTCTCTCCTGCTTAATTCCAATTTGAACTCTGCCATAACATTTTGTGTCTCAAGAAAATTACAATACTATTACGATACTATAGAGCTGAGAACAGAGCGATGGTAAAGGTACTTAGAGCCAAATTTGTTATATCGTGCTGCGTGTTTGCAAACTTCAAAGGAATTTTGGCTTTTTCTGTTCCGTCAACCATCTTAGCAGACCTCCCAGGAAACACATGTTTACTTCAACGAGTTCAAAAGGTCATGGTTTGTGATTAGTGGATTTCAATCCATGTTGATTGTTTCAGTGTTTCATTGATGTCTCCTCAACGATTGTCTCACATTTAGGGACATCTAAAGAACGAAGACCGTTCGACAGACGGAAAGCTGGTGATTTAACTGAAATTGATGTCATACAGCACTTATCGTGATGGACAATAAACGCTTTTCATTCATCTGTTCAAAGTACTTTCTTTATTCTTGTTTTTTTACGTCACCACTGATCTTTCTCTAATTACATAGCTCCAACCCCCAGTTTTAAACCACAATTAACCGACAAATTATCCTCATGAAGGAGTATAGTGCTCAGCAAGCTTCAGCAGTGTCAGCATCTCTACTCCTGTGAGGTAACCAAATCTTTGTATTTCACTCCCGCACTGATACAACACAAAATTTTTGTTATAGAAACTGACACCTTCATTTACCTGTACCATTAGGTACTCTGTCTTAGTATTGATGTATCTAGAGTTACGGGATATTTTTAGTTTAATGTTTCAGTCAATCCAAACAAAAAATCTCATTCGAATATCGTTATTCTGCCCCCCACGGCCTGACCCCATATCGTACCCAGACCTCTTATTGACGAAGCCAAAGGCAAGATCTGGTCAAATCCGAATTTGTACATGTGATTGTCTGTCAGGGATGCGACAGGCAATGAGAGAGCGGATGCTCAAAATAAATCCTCAATTTTTGATGTGTTAAACAATGAATCTGATACAGCCATGAAGTTTTTTCTCACAAAGTGTGGTTATAGATGGTTTTCACAGTGACGTCATCAAATTGTAAAGTCAAAATAGCGAGGTTTTAACGAATTCTTATTTACACTAGGTTGAAGATAAACAAAAAGTAAATCTTTGTACAAGTTTCCATTCCCGTAGCATGTTTAATTTCGAAAATACAGCAATTTGAACTTCTGGATTTTCACAGTGTTTGACATCAAAATAGGAATGTTGTCTCATTGAAAAAAAGCCTCTGCTCTTGATTTTCAGCAGTTAATAATCATTTTAAGTATAAGATATGTTTATGTGCACGTATGCTAGTTCTTGAGTCAAAAGAAAGAGCTTTTATAGAAAAAGTGAACTCCAGATGTTTTTGTTGTGGATTTTTGGCGGTCATAATGGTGGTTTTGTTTTGTCGTCTCGGCCATTTTGCTTGTTTTGGTGATTTCGTTTTGGTCATTACAGCCATTTCGCTCATTTCGATGGTTTTGTTTTGTTGTTTCGGGTTTTAGTACATGCCAATTTTGTCTGGGTGGCCTCAGTTTGTGTGGTTGCACTGTAAATCATCATGGACACAATATTAATTTTTTTTATAAATGTAATTAAATCATTTTCTAAGAAATATTATATTATTTTTAATCACCTCATCAGTGTCTTGTCCTGAATAGTGAGCTAAAAAAGGAAAAGTTAAACGCTAAAATGAAACTAACTTCTGATGAAGTGGGCAGACTGAGGTATTTAAAAAGATGCTTTTAATTAATGATCTCCCATTTTTTTCTGCCATTTTTTGTTTGTGTGCTGCTTGCCCGCTTTTTTCCCTCATATTTGCAGTGATTGAGACCCTAGTACAGGCTAGATGTTAAGACTTTATTTTCCATTTAAAATGAAGCATATATTCTTGTGCTATCTTTGGATAAAAAGCAAGACTCAGCATCACAATTTCATTGTTTTAACTCTTGCAATAAAGCACATCAAGCGCCATATTTTAGACTTTAAGCTTTTAATGTTACCCATCAAGGCCAGCTAAACTGCAGGATTGCTGACTTTTGAACAAAATAAGTTTATTAAAGTCTGCTTAAATATTTCTGGTGCTTGGGGTGAGACTGTGTTAATGGAAATGGATGATGTAACCCCTCTGATGCTCATGCTTTCCAAAACATGTCCTCTTGCAACCAACTACATATATCATGGACACTAACTCAATGAAGACCAAGGGTGTCTGCAATAATAGAATAAGTTATTGACTCACTTCTTTGAGGTCCTTGTAACATTAGTCAGGGGCACCCAACGAGAATATAGTTCAAAACCACTTAAACATAGCATTGTTAAACGTGTTTTAGTATTTAAGCGGTGGATATGGGCATATTTTTATCCCCTATAAATTTTTCATCTGTTCGGATTTCCTAGCTGAAAGTCTAGTGATCCGGAAATTTTAGGGATCAAAACTTACCTGTTTGAAAATTTCAGCCAGAAAAAAGCCTCCCGAAAATTCTAGGTGACCTTTTTAGGGTAAAAATCCTTTGAAAATGGGCAATTTTACCATTTTTTAGGTGTTCGAAAATCCTAGGAGAGGCAGGCAAGCAAGAAATTTTACAACAAATGTTCCGAAAATTCTAGACCTCAAATCGTCTTCCGAACAGATATTTTTCCGAAAATTGTCGTTGGGTGCCCCTCATTAGTATAGCTCCATCATCATCTTCTTCACCTAAAGGCATGAGATCTTGAGGGGAAAGTGTGTGATTATGTATGTAGACATACTCATCACCATGGTAAACAGCTCCTCCTCTGGTCCTTTCACCATTGGCTATGTCTTCTTCTGTGTAGGTCAGGTCATCTGTCATCTGTGTAGGTCAGGTCATGTTCATCATCATAAGATTCACCGGTGTCTATGACAGAAAAGAATAATTCCAATCAATGCCAGGGTCACAGTTTCTAACATTTGACTAAGAAACTTCTAGAATTGAGTTAAACTTCCCTTAGACGAAAATGTTGGGACACCATGCATGCAGCCACAAGGGCCATAAAAATCTGCTTGTGTGAACAAATGGGGGTACTCCAGAAGCTCTGGCAAAAAATTACAGTCTAGTATTTTTTGGAGGGACACTAAATCTGACGTTTGTTTCTCAACACGTCTGTTCACTAAAAACTCGCATAAACTAATAAAAGCAAAAGTGGGTAAATAGGCCACCATCATGGATAAAATCCTTCCCCTGGTCGATCAAAATACACTGAAATGCACTTTTCTGGGCCTTTAAAATTACAATTGGACTCCTGCAAATGGAGGCAGTGGGTCGGGGTGACCCCTTCCATACCACCCCCCAACCTCATGCCTTTGACTCTAGGCTACTGCCACCTCATTATTATAATAATTTTCTTCCTCAACTTTAAGTTTTCTGGAGGATACTAAACCAGGCTTCGAAGAGGAAAATGACTGAGTATATTTATTTGCTGGGCAAAACGAATGTGCTTATGGTCATAAGGCAGGTTTCCATGTAAAGGAGTAAAGACAACTACCCACCTGACGTAAGAGGTTCATTATCAATTTGAATTGCTCTCTGTTTTGCTATTTCAGCTAGAGGATAATTACCAATATCACATGCTAGATAGTGAATATCCTAAAAGATTTAAGCAACAAGAATTATTCTGATTGATTGTTTAGAATACGTCTGGTTTGGTCAAAATGTTGCCGCACTGTTCAGCTGCTTAGTAAAAGGTCATTGAGTCTGCATTAGAGCCTGCAAGTTGGAATAGGAATATTCTGCTCCACCCATCTGAGGGGGATGCAAGTCTATAGGCCATTTGCACTAAGAGGTCATGTGACATCGTTTTTATGCAAATGAAAGTTATATGATTTTGCCGTCGAAAAACGATTAGTGACGTCATATCTTAAACAAAATAATAGTGATTTGGTTTGTCAAACCCGCACCATTTTCTTAAAATGAGTAAGTTCGTAGCTGGTCATGTGACCAAAATGTGATTTTTAAAATTAGGAATTACATCTTTCTGAACAAATTTTGCACTTAAAGTTCAAGGGAAATGTTGAAAAGATAATGTGGTAACGTTTACAGAACATTTGAGTGTAACTATCAAACGCTTAACAAGATATAAGCAAAAAGTAGTTTTGGCCACCAATTGTTGGAGGGCAAAAGTATGTCCTCCAACATGGCAGCCAATACAAATCATACTGCTTTGTTGAAAAACCAATGTGCCATAAAATATCTCCCTTAAATGTGAATTCCTCTCAAATTTCGGCTGTAAGATAATTTTTATGTGCTCTGTCAATTTTTGGCATCAGCAAGATTCCAACTCATCGTTTAAAGGAAGCATTGGTCGCGTGACCTCTTAGTGCAACTGGCCTATTGCACTGGTTTACCTCCCAGCCAGAGCAATAAATTCACTGGTGCCTCCTAATACACTTGGGTGGTGTGGGAGTAAAAGAGGAAAGTGTCTCACCCAAGAACAATCTAATGACCCAAGTTAGGGCTCAAATTTGTTGGTTGTTGAGAAACACCAACAGACAAAGCAAAGCTCTGTACATCTGTACATTTGGGTAAAACAATATTTCTCAGAATATTTTGTACACAATAAAACTGCAGAAAAATTAATCTGAGCAAGATAGTTGCATACAAAATTATTTCCCTAATTTATTTTGATTCATTGATTGATCTTAATTTTTAACATTGATATATGGCATTTTTGATAGTACGTGTTACACGAAAAAAACAGCAATCAAATATTAAATGCTTCTTATTGATCTTTAACTAAAAAGAGGAGGTGGTAGTCCAGCACAACAATAATGCTCTTGATTATCACCATTCATTGGCAATTTTTACTTTGAATTGTATTCTTGAGATTTAAATACACTTTTTGATATTTTTTGGTGAAATTAATCATTATCAGAAATTGTACTGAGGATAGTTTATATTAATTAATATAAACTAGAATTTGATCTATTGTCTTTGAAGGTATATTGTGTCTGACTACTTTTGATGGTGAAAATAAATGAAACATCTTGCTCCTTTGTAAAGCTTTATGTAGACTTTGTCAAGTACAACCTACATAAGTAAAAGGCTATTGTTGAACAATGAAAGGAGGCTTTTTCAGCTTTATAAGCAATACCACTGAAAAAGAATAAAAATTGGAGAAGAACTTACCATGGAGAGGTCTTTAGCTCCAATGTCTACAGCCAATAAAAAGGCTTTCTCAAACCTCTTATATCTACAGTTAACAAACATGAAGTCAGCTAAGAACGTTCTAATATAATCAAGAAATTAAGCTAGATGAAATATTAAGATTAAGGCATTGCCGACAACTCTCAGTGGCTCATTCTAATTAATATTTTTAATTAGTCAATGGAAGACAACGAAAAGATGATAGTGGTTTATTGTGACCTTTTTGGCTGGAAATTAGGTTATACCAACACAGTTTCCACAATATTGTTAATAAAAGTATCAATTTATTTCAGTGACTGCATATTTTAAATAAGAGAAACAAAAGCAATTGGGGAGTATGGCAGAAATACAAAGAACTGTATATGGTAATAATACAAGTAGTGCTCATTAACATTAATAAGGACAATTCAATTATCATTTTTAATAAAATTACTGCAACACTGATTTTTCTACAATTAAAAAAAGAAGAGGGGCTATTACTGAAATGCAAAAACAAATTTCTGCACTTGATATTCAAAGCAAAATAATGTTCTAATTCTTTATCAATTAAGTTTTCTTTAGGCTTACCAATCTTGACCTCTTAAGTGCTTCAAGAAAGTGCCCCAGGAAAAGTGCTTAATTATATAGTTGGAGTATAGCAAATTTGAGCCTCTTTCAATGGCACCAAAATGGAAAGCAATAAAAGCCTCTTAGCTACTTGTAATAGAGAGGGTGCAGCTTATATATGAGTGTTTATTTGCATAATGATAATATAATAAAATGATTTCAGATTAACACCTGAGTAAGTGGTGAAAGAACCCCGGGGGGGGGTACTGCCATATATGGGCTATATAGGTATGTGCCGCTGTGAAGGGTATGGTTTTCAAGCAGTTTACTCTAGGATAGGGTATATAAATCAGAGCGTTTGGGTCTAGAATGTCTAGAATAGGGTATCATTTTTCAGGAAACTGATCAGTTGGTTGAGGATTTTATGTAGACTAGGTAAACAGCTACTCTAGGATAGGGGGATTTGGGGAGTTTACTCTAGTATAGGGTAGCAAAATTCAGCTGAACTAGCTCTGGTATAGGTTAAGGGTTCCAGGGTCCCAGCGGCACATCCCCACCCAGAAATTCCTAAAGTACCCCCCCCGGGGAAAGAACCTTCTGGAAAGCTTGCTGATTGGCTCTCTGAACTCCAACACTGTAACATCTGATAATGGTCGACTAGGAGCATAGAAACTTCCCAGTGCCTCTTCTAAAAGACCTGAAGTTTTTTGATATGTATAACAGACAAGTGTATAACATGCAGTACCTGCACAAACAACACGCCCAGTGCTTCTTCAGAAACAACAATTAAGAGCGTTATTATGGAGATTTTTTTAATACACCATTGATGTAATAAAATCAAATACGTATGACTCAAATTAATGTGAATGATGAAGTTAATCTTTCAAAAGAACAATAGAAACTAATTAAAATTCAATAATACTTTCAAACCAAGAGAATTAATGTAAAGTTATAGCTATACAACATTTCAAGGCGACTTAATGAATTTGACAGCTTATTAGAGTAAACGACAAAAAAATTGAAAAAAAAGATTAGATATTTCTGTACCAAACATGGTTGGATGTGTGAGAATTAAGAGTAGGAAAAATATTTTGTTCACACCTTCTCTCTCTGAATTAAGTGGAAGTTTCAAAAGGTAGTTCATTATGAGCATTAAGCAGGCAAAACATGCTCTACCCTCTGTGTTCCAGTTCATACTATTAAGAAAGTTGACTGCCTGTTAAAGCAAAAATACAGTCAAATCACTGAACTTTATCTTAATACCCCGATTTTCCGTCCAAGAATTAAGCTTAGTGTAATATAAAACATCACTACAATTTAATTAACAGAGACTTGAACAAATTATGATCAACCTCACAAATGCCTACTCAACCGAAGACAACATTTCTTTCCCAAGCTTAGCCAATCACATTGTACTTACAAAATTTTGGAAAGTTGGCCTTCACCGCAGGGGAATCTGATAATTACTTGATCTGTATGAAACACTGGGAAAGCTTTCTGACCTCTAATACACATTAGATTCAAATTAAAGCAGCAAAAGTAAGATTTAGTCAAATTTTAGAATACCTCATGCACTGCATAACCTTAGCAAACGAAAGAAAAGAAGGAAAACTCTAGGGTCACGTTTTAGTCGTGTTTAGCCTGTCAACACTTTATTTCGCAACTGTTAATTGGTCACTTACCACGCAAATAAAACAATGGGAAAGGAATGTTGTTTTCGGTTGAGCAAGCATTTGTGGGGATCAAGGGATGAAAAACGAGCTCCCCTGAAAATAGCCTCCCCGCAGATGTCCTTTGGGGTTCGTTTGTCACGCATTCATTTCTTCCCCACGGACGTCTGCTAAACACAGCCGACATTTACGTTCACCAATCACAGGCCGTTTACGGATTTTTGTAAAACGTAACCCGAGCCGCTTCTTAAGATTCGCACGATCAGTGAGGCTTTTGATCGAGTGTGCGAGAAATTTGTAATTAATACAGAGTTAAACAAGTATCAGAGAGAAGCTATCCTGCAAATTTTATAACGAAGACCGATGAGTTCATAAATTTGAAGACGGGATTTGGCAAATCCCTTATCTATCAAGCTTTGCTGCTTGTTTGCGACACAGTGCGTGGAACTACTGGACATTATTGTTGTTGTTGTTTCTCCCCTGGTAAATCTTGAAAGATCAATCTACAAAGCTGACAAAGCTGGAAAATTTTGGTATTCCTGCTGTAACACTCAGTGATATTAGCAAAGAGGATATGAGGGCTGTCGAGAGAGGGACTTTCTCTGTTGTTTACCGAAGCCCAGAAGCTTGGTTGAAGATCGATCGGTGTAGGAAATGCTAGCGAGGGACTTGTACAGTTAGTATGTGGTCCTTGGTCGGCGACTTTCCCTAGCATGATTCAATATTTCGTCGAGAAATAAAATACAATGAACATTGAAAGGTTCAATGCTTTATTGATTATAAGCATTTTTTCTTTCTTTGAAAGATCGAGATTCTCTTTTCCTAATACTTCGAATATGTACAGAGTTAATACTAATTATTGTTTTCGACCGCGCTAAAAACCGCTCAGCGCTCGTGTGAGAGACTGTTGTCTGAAGTCTTTCAAAGAGCAGATTATTTTATAGTCACAACTTCCGAAAAAATATACAGCTGACTGCAGCTTTATTGCATCGTTTCTGTGATTTTTTCAAAACGTTTGAGTCGTCTCAGAGAAGATAGCCGTGCAAATAAGTAATTCACTTGAGAATACGGAGACATCACTTATATAACAGCGCGTGATTGGCTGATCGTGACACAATAACTAACCACTTATTGGCTTATTCAAACACTCCAGAACGTAAATGTCGGCTGTGTTTAGCAGATGTCCGTGGGGAAGAAATGAATGCGTGACAAACGAACCCCAAAGGACGTCTGCGGGGAGGCTACCCTGAAAACGCCTGCAAGGGAAGCTGCCTTTTGTGGGAAATGGTCAAACACCACTGAGTTGAGAATCCCAGAGTCCCGCGTCAAACTGGGATTCAAACAAAGCCGTGTAAATCTTCATTAAATGATATTCAACCACCAAAAATATAATCACTTAAATGGACAAGGACAGCACATGTCAGTGGAAAGCTATCGCTGTGTATGAAGGCAAATGGAATGTGACTTCAGTGTATCACATATCCCATAGTGTTACAGAGCTATACCATCATGATCACCCTTCCTCTGAAAACTAATAAGAATAAAGTTGCTGTACCCCATATCTTGAGGAGTGTTACAGAGGGGCGTATGGAGAAGCAGGAATCCGGGATCCGGAATCCGGAATCCGGAATCCGGAACCGGAGCCGGAAACGGAAACGGAACCGGAACCGGAACCGGAACTTAAATTGAGATCAGGGTAAACTGGGAAGCACTGAAACCAGTTCCCGATACCCGTGTGGGAATAAAATTCAAGATGGCGTCCTCTGTTATCATTGTTTTGCGAAATTTTCAGCACAGTGATCGTGATACCAAAGGTATACTCACATTCGGAAAGTGACTTGCAAGAAAAAAAGGTAAGTGCATCCTGCTGTTATTCCTAGCAGTCATAAACTGTGACTGCAGCTGTAGGTCGAGCAATTTTTGACAGATCGAGACTACAACTAATCAGAAGCCGGTTGACTGCGAAAAACAGCCATTATTAGAATGTGATGTTTAAGACCGCTGTGTTATTCATTTCCTTCTCTTGAGCCTAAGTTACTCATTTCTTAAAAGGGCTCCGTGTTTCCTCCATTGTGAGGAAAAGGCGGCAAAGGGAGGAGGAGTACTCATGTAAATCACGATCCCAAGTTGCAACGCTCACGCGTATATGAAATTCTCGAAGAAAAATTTTGCGCCGTACACAAAAAATGCGACAGTAAAAACAATAATAACAATAAATAAGTATAATGTGGGGATGAAAAGTCTTGATCGAGCAATAGTTGTTAGTGACACTCTTAAGACAGAAATGTCTCCAAGTTTTATTTCTTAGGTTCGGGTTTGGGTTCGAGTTCCGTTTCCGTTTCCGGCTCCGGTTCTGGATTCCGGATTCTCCATACGCCCGTTACAGAGCCATATACCTGTATGGCAGATTGAAATTAATTACCATCATGATCAACAGAGGTTTAATTGTGACTCAGTGATTTTAACAGGGAGGAAAACCAGACCAACAGTTTCTGCCCCCAAAGTTGAAGGAAAGTGGATGGGCTCTTAAATGATCTTAAATACTATTCACTGCTTAACCTAATTACAATACTATTAGTAATAAAAAAATATATATATAATAATAATATAAACACATTTTAATAAAAATTTATTCATTTACAAGTACCTCTTCAGCTTGATCATGTTTGATGTACTCAGACACCATCTCAACGGTACCAAGCCTTCCATTAGTGAGGACACCAAGTTCAAATCTTAAAAGGCACAAAGGGCCTCTACCATAAAAAACAGAAAAAATGCCAGACAATAAATATTTCAAATGGCTTTACAAATAAGTAAGCCATTTAATTATCACAGTATTATAACTTATTTAACAATTATTATTGAATGAGACTGGGTATGATGTGAAGAATTATATATGCAGATCGATGAGATCTCCATAACTCTCCACATCATGCAAAAAAACCGAATTCAATAATATTTGTTTTATTATTTATTCAAAATATTTTTAAGTTCTTATGATGACAAGAGGAGACTTTCTTCAAAACTTTGGCTGACTCCTCGGTATGGATTAGGATATAAACAGATGCAACAGGTTTCTTGCAAATACTCGTCAAAAAGTAGATAAAATTCAAATAGCAATATGTTGCTATTCTTGCATTTCTTCCGTTCAGTTTTAGTCAGAAATTTAGCTTTTTTGTCATCACTGACAGATAGCCATGATGTTGGTTTGTTGGTGTTTTAGTACCAAAAGAAAAACTTTGCTTCAAACTATTCTTGGTTAAATCTATTGACCTCCGCACAATTTCCCCAGGGTTGTATATAAGAGCTGGTAGCCAGCGAAGTTTGCCTGCTTCCCTGCAAGGCTTCGCCGCTACTTTCATTACTTCAAGAGTCAAGATATGGCGAGGGGATGATGTTTATCTGGTCTAAACTTAGGCTCAATAAAAATACAAATTTGTAGTCCCTATCGTTAGCTCCAGCAAAACCACCATAAAGATACAAAAAAATGTCATTCCACTACTTGTTTTCATGGTTGTATTTTGAAATTTCACTTTGTCTTTCTTTGAGTAAGATGATTTTCACGGTATAATTGCAGCTTAATTTATCCCCCTGATGTCAAAGTTTCAAGGCTAAAATGCCAGGATGCGTTTTCCAGTGTTCAGTTTTCAAAAAATTTCCAGGGGAGCAGGCCCGGAGTCCCCCTGGAAATGATGGGCTTTAGCCCATCATATGGCTCCTCTGGACCTACAACCGTCTACTTTTCAAAAAACTCCAGCTACTTAAACCTTAAAGAAAACCCTGTTTCTCTTTAAATGGATGGATTTTTATAATACTGAAAATTATTGAACGTATAAGCATTAATACCAGCATTATATTATTGCAACTTAACAAACCTGTCAAGTAAGACAATTAAGTTGTCATGGCAACCAATACTGTTTTCTGCAATGTTTGCAATGGGAGCTTCACAGGACCAGGAAACACTCCTCAGTTTTATTGGGATTCTACGGAAATAATTTTCAGTTGGGTCATTTACCTTTTAAAGGTGGTCAAATTAATTTTGCACCTCATATGCATCTACATTGTACAGTATATCAAAACAGGAATTCATCAAGACTGCTTTTGCAACGTCCATGAGATTTCATATGGGTAGTGTTTGACATGCTCATCAGTTATTCTGATAATTAGGGACCTTCAGCAAGGAAGAAGTCTTTATCAAAATGTCTTTATGAAAGTGAATTAATGTTTTTTCAAACTTTGTGGGGTATATTTGAACCGGCTAAAGATACCAAAGGTAGGCAAATTTTCCTTCAAAATTTTATGGAGCTTTAATGTTTGCACTCCTGGACCACATATTATGGCGGAATTATTTGTCACTCAGTCTCCAACTAAGGATGTAATCCCATAGTGTTTCTATTCAAATGAAACCTCTTTGGCAGAATGTGTTTCGTTAATTTCCATAATATTTTTTTTCCAAAAGGAAATTAGATTTTTTTATTTGTTTCCTTTGGCTATTTCAGAGTCAAGTGTTAAAATATATAACACACTTAATTGTTGCATGCATTTCTTAACAGCTTACGTGAAGAGTTTTTTCAGTTCCAGCAAATGCCTTGGAGAAGGGTTCTCTGCTACAAGCTGTAATAACACTGGAGCTAAAGCCATATCAAATATCTGAGAACAAAATAGCATCAATAACCAATAAAAGCACTTACTAACAGTTAACAACAGGCTCCAGTAGTTCCAACGCTGGATAGTGCTATCCATTGGATAAATCACTAACCAGTGGATAAGTATTAAGGAAAACAAAATGCATTATCCACTGGCCTGGAACTGGATAGAACTTTATCCACAGGATAGTATTTGCCACTTTTTCTTATGGTATTACAGTATTGGGTACCCTCCCTCTCGTCAACTGGTTACTGACAAAAGTGGATCTCAGTTGACTGTATGTTACAACAAAAATTTTGGGTAGACATACTTTTTGTAAAGAGAAATAATATTTACATCTAGTGTCAAACATGCACCGTCAATGTTGCGGCTTAATATAGGTTTCAATACACCTTAAGGCATGAGTATTCTTAAAACCCCAAGTTTCTTAGACCTTCCATATTCATAAACTAACTGTACCCTGCAATGTAAATTATTAGTTCTCAATGTTTTAATTATGGTAGGATTAACATAATTTAATTAATGCATTACAAACTTTGAGACTATTTTGAAGTCAACGTGTGATTGATGGCTAAAGTGTAAAATTTAACAAAGTACCTGAATATCTCCCTCAGCACTGCAAACAAACACTACAGCATCCCCTGGATGCCACTGAATAAGTGATGGCATCTGAAGAACATGCAGTTAATAATATTTATTTAATAGTAGCCGAGCGCGTTGCGTGGCCCCCATCGCGCGTGGGGGCCTCAACATTGTTGACTTTGAAACTAAGTGTTCGAGTTTGCGTTTGTCGAGTCTCTCTGGGTATCGGGAGGAATTCGGCACGTGCAAATGGCACTTTTTAGCTCGTTACTTTTTCGGAAATCGTTTTACTAATCTTGATCCTAGTTTTGATTTTTCTTCCCGCTCAATTCCTTTGTCTTCCGAGCCGTCTGCTTTTTACCGTAATTGCTTATCTTTGTTGTCCTCTTTGCGTAGTAAACACAGTTCTTTACCGGCTGATTTTTCTTGTAAAAACTTGTATAGTCTTCTACTAGACCTCCCGAGCGCCGCTCCGCGCTCCTCCGGTTTTTGGGCCGCTTCACTTAAGAGGCCGGTGAACCGGTGGGCCGCGGTCTGGCGCAGGTCTCGCCTTAAGCTGATTGAGAATAAGAAAACCGATTTACTTTGGCTGATAATTCACCGCGCAATTAAAGTTCGATACGCATTGAAAACTTGGGGATACAAACTTAAATCTGATAAGTGTGCTTTGTGTTGCCAAGTTGAAACAATTGAGCATTGTTTTCTTTTTTGCCCTCGCGCGCACTGTGTGGAGGTACTTTACGCCTTATCTGTCTCGCCTCTCTACTTCCCCTTTCTCTGTTAACTCTTCTTGTATTTTCTTCCCTTTCTCGTCTCAATCTTCTTCGCCTTCTTTTTCGCTCTACTGTTACTTGATTGCTACAGTTTTATTTTGTATCTGGCAAACTAGGAACCTTGCGACTTTTCGGAATTCTGTTTTAAATGCTGATCAAATCGTCAACCTGATTAAGTGCATACTAATTAGAAGATAATGCCATTTGCGCCAGAGTGCTTTTGGGCCTTTCAAACGAGGGCTACTTTACGGGCGATTTTTGAAAAATTTCCCTTGGTCCCCCCTTTGCACTTTTTCAGAAAAAGCGGGTTTTGGATGACCTTGCCAAAATTGCCATAACTTGGCCATTCGGACATTTTTGGGGCCGCTGTTTGCGCCAAAATCTTTTCCACTCTTTGCACTTTAAGTGCATACTAAATAGAGGATAATGCCTTTTGCGCCAGCATGCTTTTGTGCCTTTTAAGCGAGGGATTCTTTTTGGCGATTTTTAAAAAATTTCCCTTGGTCCCCAGTTTGCCCTTTTTCAAAAAATGCGGGTTTTGGGCAAACTTGCGAAAATTGACATAACTTGGCTATTCGATCACTTTTAGAGAAGCCTTTCGCACCAAAATCTTCTCCAGTCTTTGCACTGTAAGTGTATACTAATTAAAGGATAATGCCATTTGCGCCAGAGTGCTTTTGAGCCTTTAAAACGAAGGCTACTTTTTGGGCGATTTTTGAAAAATTTCTCTTCGTCTCCCCTTTGAACGTTTTAAGAAAATGCAGGTTTTGGGTGACCTTGCAAAAACTGCCATAACTTGGCTATTCGGGCACTTTTGGAGCCGCTGTTTGCGCCAAAATAATTTTCAGTCTTTGCACGTCAAGAGCATACTAATTCAATTATAATGCCATTTGCGCCAGAGTGCTTTTAGGCCTTTCAAACGAGGCCTGATTTTTGTGCGAATTTTGAAAAATTTCCCTTGGTCCCCCCTTTGCACTTTTTCAGAAAATGCGGGTTTTGGGTGACCTTGCCAAAATTGCAATAACTTGGCCATTCGGACACTGTTTGGAGCCGCTTTTTGCGCCAAAATCATCTCCAGTCTTTGCACTTTAAGTGCATACTAATTAGAGGATAATGCCATTTGCGCCAGAGTGCTTTTGGGCCTTTCAAACAAGGGCTACTTTTTGGGCGATTTTTGAAAAATTTTCCTTGGTCCTCCCTTTGCACTTTTTCAGAAAATGCAAGTTTTGGGTGACCTTACAAAAATTGACATAACGTAGCTATTCGGGAAGTTTTGGAGCCGCTGTTTGCGCCAAAATCTTCTCCAGTCTTTGCACTATAAGTGCATACTAATTAGAGGATAATGTCGTTTGGGCCAGAGTGCTTTTTTGCCTTTCAAACGAGGGCTACCTTTTGGGCGATTTTTGAAAAATTTCTCTTCGTCCCCCGTTTGCACTTTTTCAGAAAATGCGGGTTTTGGGTGACCTTGCGAAAATTGCCATTAACTTGGCCATTCGGGAACTTTGGGAGCTGCTGTTTGCGCCAAAATCCTCTCCAGTCTTTGCACTTTAACTGCATACTAATTAAAGGATAATGCCATTTACGCCACAGTGCTTTTGGGCCTTTTAAGCGAGGGAATCTTTTTGGACGATTTTTGAAAAATTTCCCTTGGTCTCCCCTTTGCACTTTTTCAGATAATGCGGGTGTTGGGTGACCTTGCAAAAATTGTCATAACTTAGCCTTTCAGGCACTTTTGGAGCCGCTTTTTGCGCCAAAATCTTGCCAGCTCTTTGCACTATAAGGGCATGCTAATTAGACGATAATGTCGTTTGCGCCAGAGTGCTTTTGGGCCTTTCAAACAAGGGCTACTTTTTGGGCGATTTTTGAAAAATTTCCCTTAGTCCCCCCTTTGCACTTTTTCAGAAAATGCGGGTTTTGGGTCACCTTGCAAAAATTCCCATACCTTAGCCATTCGGGCAGTTTTGGATCCGTTGTTTACGCCAAAATCTTTTCCAGTCTTTGCACTATAAGGCCATACTAATTAAAGGATAATGCCATTTGCGCCAGAGTGCTTTTGAGCTTTTCAAGCGAGACTTACTTTTTGGGCCATTTTTGAAAAATTTCCCTCGGTCGCCCCTTTGCACTTTTTCAGAAAATGCGTGTTTTGGGTGACCTTGCAAAAATTGCTATAACTTGGCTACTGGGGCACTTTTGGAGCCGCCTTTTTCTCCAAAATCTTCTCCAGTCTTTGCACTATAAGTGCATACTAATTAGAGGATAATGCCATTTGCCTCAGAGTTTTTTTTGGGCTTCTTAAGCGAGGGCTACTTTATGGGCGATATTTGAAAAATTTCCCTTGGTCCCCTTCTTGCACTTTTTCAGAAAGTGTGGGTTAGGGTAACCTTGCAAAAATTGCCATAACTTGGCCATTCGGGAAGTTTTGGAGCAGAGTTTTGCGCCAAAATCTTCACCAGTCTTTTCACTTTAAGTGCATACTAATAAGAGTAGAATGCCATTAGCGCCAGAGTGCTTTGGAGCTTTTCAACCGAGGGCTACTTTTTGGGCGAGTTTTGAAAAATTTCTTTTGGTCCCCCCTTTGTACTTTTTTAGAAAATGCGGATTTTGGGTGACCTTGCGAAAAATGCTATAACTTGGTCATTCGGGCAGTTTTGGAGCCGCTGTTCGCGCAAAAATCTTTTCCAGTCTTTGCACTTTAAGTGCATACTAATTAGAGGATAATGCCATTTGTGCCAGAGTGCTTTTCGGCCTTTCAAACGAGGGCTACTTTTTGGGCGATTTTTCGAAAAATTTTCCTTGGTCCCCCCTTTGCACTTTTTCAGAAAATGCGGGTTTTGGGTGACCTTGCTTAAATTGCCATAACTGGGCCATTCGGGCACTTTTGGAGCCGCTGTTTGCGCCTAAATCGTCTCCAGTCTTTGCACTTTAAGTGAATACTATTTAGAGGAAAATGCCATGTGCGCTAGATTGCTTTTGGTCCTTTACGGCGAGGGCATCCTTTTGGCCGATTTTTGAAAAATTTCCCTTGGTCCCCCCTTTGCACTTTTTCAGAAAATGCGGGTTTTGGGAGACCTTGCCAAAATTGCCATAACTTGGCCATTCGGGTACTTTTGGAGCCGCTGTTTCCGCCTAAATCGTCTCCAGTCTTCGCACTTTAAGTGCATACTATTTAGAGGATAATGCCATTTGCGCCAGACTACTTTTGGGCCTTTTCAGCGAGGGGATCGTTTTGGGCGATTTTTGAAAAATTGCCCTCTGTCCCCCCTTTGCACTTTTTTAGAAAATGCGGGTTTTGGGTGACTTTGCTTAAATTGCAATAACTGGGCCATTCGGGCACTTTTGAAGCCGTATTCTTGGCCAAAATTTTTTCCAGTCTTTGCACTACGAGTGCAAACTAATTAGAGTAGAATGTCATTTGCGCCAGAGTGCTTTTGGGCCTTTCAATCAAAGGATACTTTTTGGGCGATTTTTGAAAAATTTTCCTTGGTCCCCCCTTTGCACTTTTTTAGAAAATGCGGGTTTTTGGTGACCTTGCAAAAATTTCCATAACGTGGCCATTCGGGCACTTTTCGAGGCGCTTTTTTGCCCCAAAATCTTTTCCAGTGTTTGCTCTTTTAGTGCATACTAATTAGAGGATAATGCCATTTTTGCTAGAGTGCTTTGGGCCTTTCAGACGAGGTCTCCTCTTTGGGCGATTTTTGAAAAATTTCCTTTGGTCCCGCCTTTGTACTTTTTTAGAAAATGCGGGTTCTGGGTTTCCTTGCCAAAATTACCATAACTTGGTCATTCGGGCACTTTTGGAGCCGCTGTTTTCGCCAAACTCTTCTCTAGTCTTTGCGCTATAAGTGCGTACTAATTATAGGATAATGTCATTTGCTTCAGAGTTTTTTTGGGCTTTTCTAGCAAGGGTACTTTTTGGGTGATTTTTGAAAAATTTCCCTTGGTCCACCCTTTGCACTTTTTCATAAAATGCGGGTTTACGGTGACCTTGCAAAAATTGCCATAACTCTGCCATTCGGGCACTTTTGGAGCCGTTTTCTGCGTCAAAATCTTCTCCAGTCTTTGCACTATAAGTTCATAGTAAATAAAGGATAATGCCATTTGCGCCAGAGTGCTGTTGGCGTTTGAAAAGAGGGCTACTTTTTGGGCAATTTGTGAAAAATTTCCCTTGGTCCCCCCTTTGCACTTTTTCAGAAAATGGGGCTTTTGGGTGATTTTGCAAAAATTGCCATAACTTGACCATTCGGGCACTTTTGGAGCTGCTTTTTGCGCCAAAATCTTTTCCAGTTCTTGCAGTTTATGTGCATATTAATTACA